CCAAGCTCTGTCCAGCAGGTTGGGTTGAGGCACACTGGTGTTATCTTTTTATACTAAAATCTACGTGTACAATATTCAACATAACTTCCCAATACCAATCACCTACGTTAGACAGTTTGTCTCTACTCTAAACCAATCCAAAAGTGTCACCATCACAGCAGAAGATGCTCTTGGGATCTCTGCTGGTCAGAGTGACTTAGAGATGCGTTAGAAACTCACTTTTCTTAGTTAAAGAAGGAGTCAGAACTCTTCTATTCTTGTTCTCAAGCTTGTTTATTGTTTCTTATCTATAAAATTCTTTCTCTGAACCACCAAGCTCTGTCCAGCAGGTTGGGTTGAGGCACACTGGTGTTATCCTTTTATACTAAAAACTATGTGTACAATATTCACCATTACTTCCCAATACCTATCACCTATGTTAGACACTGAGCTTCTACTCTAAACCAGACTAAAAGTGCCACCATCACAGCAGAAGATGGAGGCCAAGAAGAAGAAGAAGGACAAAGACTGGACACACTTCAATTCTTCCATCTTGCCCCCTGAACCTCCACTCTAAAAACCCCAAAAATTGATTTTTCACCCCGTGACTAACTATTATTCTACTTAAACTTCCTTGACTTGTAATCCTTCATATAAAGGTTGGTAATTATTTTTTCCAAAGGCACAGGGGTCTTGGGCTCTGTGCCAAGGTCTCTCAGCTCGGGCTGGAGCCCTCCAGGGCATCCAAAGGAATTTTCTGGGTTCTGACAGATGCCCTGGGGTCTGGCACTGAGTTTCTGGGACCTTCAGATGTGTTGGTGTCACTGGAAGAGTCCCACAGGCACATTTGGGGTTGTGTTAAACCCAAGGAACTCAACTCAGCCACCTCTGGGGCTTGTCTGCACCAGCCCTGGAGCTCCCTCCAGGATTCTCTGAGATATTTGTTTGTTTATATGAAATACTCCTGATTTTCTGCTCAATAACACCAGCTCTTTCCACCCTGAGCCAGGAGGGAAGTGCCCATCAGCTGGCAAGGAGGGGAATTTTCCTCTTTAGTGGTTTTTCTGCCACAGCAGCTCCCGGGGGCTGGCAGCTGCCAGGGGTGCCCTGAGCTGCCCCCATGATTCAGCATCCTGGCATCCTCATCCTCAGGGCTGTGCAGGAGGCAGGGGCTGGACANGGGGTATCGCTGGCCAGGGGTCTCTGTACAAATCACAAACGGGATGGGGCTGCTGTGGAACGTGACTCGAGCTGTTTTATCTTCCAGCATCACTCTCATTCCATGGTTATGACAATGGGAAGATGTCACCAGCTCACATCTCAGGCAGCAGACCCAGAATTTAATGATACAACTCACTTTATAAATTTTTTGACAAATCACACAGAGCAAAAGCACATTGACAGTACTTCTATCTAGTCACTATAAGCACACGTACCTTTGGTTAAAACAATGCTTGCTTATTTCTAATACAATACCTGCTTGTAAGCCTTAAAATACAACACACAGAGTTCCACTAGTAAGCTTCAAACTTCCTAATATCTCACTAGATAAACTTTCTGTAGCTTAAAGAGTTATTCTAAACAAGCATTAATACACAGACCATTGTTCTATTTGTCTTTGCTTTTCTACTTTTTAAATAATTTTTCTGCTGACCTATCTCATGGCTGCTGCTTAGCTCTAATCACAGTTCTGCTGTTTCTGAGGCCTGCCTTTTGCAGCTTTCCCCAAAACCCTCTGATTTTGTAGATTCTCACAGTGGGGGACACAGAGGGGACAGGGACACAGAGGGGACAGGGATACGGGGGGGACAGGGCTGCAACCACAGGGACATGGGGATGCTCCCCTGGGCTCTGAGGGGGTTCATTCCTCCCAGGAGCTCCCAGGCAGTCAGAGAAAGGCTGAGCACAGCACAGAGATGGGAAAGGACTTTCCCATGGGAAGAATCCCTGAGGAGAAGCCAGCATGTCCCAGCACAGCACCACAGCCACGTGGACACACTGCCCCATCCTGCTGCACCAGTGGGACAAGCCCTGGGAGTGGGGACAGCCACAGAGCCCCTTAATCACACTCCTAACCCTGCTCAGAAATCTCCTGATTAATTCTGTATTCTGGAAAAAGCCGAGCAGGCTGCAGACACTAAGAGGATTTATGAGGAGTAAATTGATTAACTGCAGGAAGGTGCTGGGGGTGGAACAGGCAGGGATGGATGGATGGATGCAGGGAGGGGTTGGTGCAGCACTGGAGCCTTTCAGCTCCTTGGAATTCCCTCAATGCTTGGGAGCACCAGGGTGAACGTGCCAACAATGGGGACAGAGAGTAAGAGGGAGCATCAATATTTTAAAATGTCACATTTGCTCCCACATGCCTGTAATCTCCATGATCCATCAACCATGTGGAGCAGCTCTCATGGGA